TATCTAGTACTTCTCGTATATTATTCTCAAATTTTTGGGCCATTTTCTCAGTCTTCGTGGTGGATTTTTTCTAGGCCAGCAATTTTCTCTTCTACATCTGAGATTCTATTTTCTGTATGATCTAGTCTGCTTTTAATACTTTCAAGGGAGATTTTGACTTCCTGTATTATAGACTTCATTTCTAACAGTTCCGTTTGAGTCTTTTGTAAAGCATGTAATTCCTCTTTTAGATCTTGCAAGAATTTCCTCACCTCCTGGAACTTGTCAATTTCTTTCTCCTTTCTCTTTAGCAGTTCATTGTCTCTCTTCTCTTCCATCTTCTCTTCCATCTTAGCTTCACCATTATGAATGTTCTAAATTCTTTATCAGACATTTCCATGATTTGCATTGAACTGCTTGTGGATGAAGAGGAGTTATTCTTTTCCCTTGGAGAAGAGGTATTTTCTTGCTTTTCCTTATTTCTCGTGGTCCTGCGGTGATTTTTTTGTCATCTGATGGATGGTGTGTTTCTTTCGAATTCTTGAAGTTCAATCTGAGTGTTCAGGAGCAAGCAGAAAGAGGTGATCTGGAATCTCTTTGCCGTTCTGTTGTGATCACTGGTGCAGCAGGTTCAGTAGATATTGAGGAATGTTAACCCTAATAGTATTTTGATGTTTAGCTACAGTGCCCTTAGATCTATCACACTAACTTTGTTTGCTGGAGGCTGAATTATCCGTAGAAAATCTTCATTTTTCCTGTCCCCTGAAATGACTAGTTTGCAGGAGCCATGAGGAATCCTCTTCTGAAGGAGGATTTCGTTTTTTAAAGTTTTTACTATAGGACACACGTGCTTGCCAGAGAGAGACCCAGAGAGAGAGGAAAGTGAGAAGTTACCCTCGGGGGGGATGGGCACACCATAGTCCCTTCTCCTTCACTCTCGGGATTTTTGGACACACACACATATACACACACACACACACACACCTGGCATGATTTTCAAGCCGATGGGTCTGGTACTCAAACTACAGTTGGCCACTTGGGGATCCAGGGCCTTCTCTTCCATGCCTCTCACTGGCTTGTGGGTGGCAGTTTTATTTCCCAGGAGAGAGACATGGAAATGGAGCAGGTTTATGTGGACAGATGGTTGTACCTCGTGGGCACATTGACTTTGGTACTCATGGAATGATCTAGAATGTCTCTTGGCTACACAGAATGAAAGTGCAGGAGTGGATCTAGGGCAGAGATGTGGATTTGTAATCATTTGTGTGTTTTTGGTTGAAGCCGTGAGTGTAAATGAAGTTGCTTTGGGGGTATGTGAAGGGAGTAGCAGGATCAGGGAAGTGTAAAGTCAGGAGCCAGAGAAAGAAGAGGTGGGTTGAGATTCATTTTGAGCTGAGACCAGGGCCCTGGTTTTGACTGACTCCTTTTTCCTCTTCCAGGCAGCTGACTCTGCTGGTGGCCAGTGAGGACTCCAGTTACATGCCAGCCAGGGTGGTGGTGTTTGGGGGTGACAGTGCCAGCTGCATCAACACTGAGCTCAACACGGTAGGAGCCCCTGTGCCCCTCTTCATCTCGCTCCCCACCCTGCTTGTGCCAGGTCCTGTGGAAGGACCCAGCCCCTGCTTTGGAAAGACTTCGTCTTGGAAACAGCAGGAGTGAGATTAGGGGGTGGGTCCCTGGACTCAGTGGAGAACTGAAGGGCACACAGCACTGCCAACTGGGTGGCTGTCAGCAGTCCTTCCAGCCCCACTTCTGGAGGTGTCAGCCCTCTGCCTCCCTTTTCCCTGTCCTGCCAGGTGAACGTGTTATCCTCAGCCAGCCGGGTGACCCTCCTAGAGAACCTGACCCGCTTCTGGCCTGTCATCCAGATCCGCATAAAGCGCTGCCAGCAGGTGGGGCAAGGGAGGAGTGGGGACTGGGGCTGAGGATTGGGGTGTAGCCCAGGGGCTCCAGAGTAGCTGGTTTTCTAACACTGGAGGCAGGGCTTTGGCCAGGGTTCTCTTCAGTCCCCTTGGAGATGGCTCAGAAACCTTTTGTGTTCCTAAGATGTAGGGATGTCCCAAGCCGCTCTCAGGAACTCGGGGCTGCAGCCTGGCAATGTGCAGCAGCTCCGGCAGCTAGGGTGACAGACAGCCCTGTGCATGTTGCAGGGCGGCATCGACACCCGGGTTCGAGGTGTGGAGGTCCTGGGCCCCAAGCCCACTTTCTGGCCCCTGTTCCGGGAACAGCTGTGTCGCCGCACGTACCTCTTCTACACGATTCGGGCGCAGGCCTGGAGCCGGGACATAGCGGAGGACCGCAGACGCCTCCTGCAGCTCTGCCCCAGGTAGGTGGGGCACGAGGAGGGAACAGGACACTAAGGAGTAGGTGACAGGAGACACTAGAGTGGAGCCTGTCGGGTAAAGCTACGTCTAGCACGTGCGGGGAAACATGAGCACAGGTGAGAAGGACATGCTGCGAGGGGAGTCAGGTTAGGACCGGGCCCAGGGTGATGTGGTGTTGCTATGCCCTGGAGTGGAGGCCTCAGGGAAATCTGTGCCTTTAACCTTGACCGTTGCTGTTTGTTCCCAGACTGAACAGGGTTTTGCGCCATGAGCAGAATTTTGCTGACCGCTTCCTTCCTGATGATGAGGCCGCCCAAGCCCTGGGCAAGACCTGCTGGGAGGCCCTGGTCAGCCCACTGGTGCAGAACATCACTTCACCTGGTACCGTCCTAATGCCTGGCCTCACTAGCCAGCTCCTGGGGTTTATTCCCAGGGGTCACCGAGTTCATGCTTTTGGTTCTCCCGGGTCCTGTCTTCATCCCTGAAGGCCTGTTATCTCTGTGTTCCTCTCTCCTTTCTGCCCCAGGGGTTCTCCCTGAGACTGGTATTCGAGTCTTCCCCTCCACCCTGTCCCTGACCTGTTACCATATCCCCAGACTCCAGCTGAAGCAGACCTTGGTGAGGGGAGGACCAGGGTTTTGTACACTGACTCCTTCTCCCTTCTGCTCCCTGGCTGGCATTCCCCTGTTTTCCATGGATACCTGTTCCTGACCTGTCTTCTTTCAGATGTGGAAGGTGTGAGCTCCCTGGGATGGCTGCTGGATCAGTATTTAGAGCAAAGAGAGAGCTCACGGAACCCCCTCAGTCGAGCAGCCTCCTTTGCTTCTCGAGTTCGCCGTCTTTGCCACTTGCTGGTACATGTAGAGCCTCCTCCTGGGCCATCTCCCGAACCGTCCACACGGCCCTGTAAGTCCCAGCTGTGGCCAGTTGAGCTAAGAACCTGGGAAGCAGTGCCTTCTGGTTTCTCCCTGCTGCCTGAATTTTCCTCTCCTTACTGCATTGCTATGGGCCTTTTCAGGCCCCTGGGACCTCCTGGCCCTTCCTGGGGACCAATACCTAAGATCCTGGTCTCACCCACAGGCTGAGATGAAATTCCTTCCTTTTCCCTGTCTCCATAGTCAGCAAGAGCAGTAAGGGTCGGGATCGGAGCCCTGCACCTTCATCGGTTCTTCTGAGCTGCACCCTGAGGAACATAACCCAGTGCTGGCTGAGCGTGGTGCAGAAGCAGGTGGGCAGACACAAGCCAAAGGCTATGGGGGAGAGGGGCTGCTCCTTTGATGTTATTTTTTGTGCGGTCTCTTCAGGTCAGCAGGTTCCTGGCTGCAGCCTGGAGGACCCCAGACTTCGTGCCCCGTTACTGTAAGCTCTATGAGTACTTGCAGAGAGCAGGCTCTGAGCTGTTTGGGCCTCGGGCGGCCTTTACGCTGGCTCTGCGCAGCGGCTTCTCTGGCGCCTTGCTGCAGCAGTCCTTCCTCACTGCGGCTCACGTGAGTGCCCCATGTCTTCCCTGTCCATCTCTTTTTGCTCTGCCCTTTTACCTCTGCTCCCTTGTCCATGGTTTGCCTGATGCCCTTTCCACTGCCCCCAGATAAGTGAGCAGTTTGCCAGGCACATTGACCAACAGATCCAGGGTGGCCTGATTGGCGGAGCCCCTGGAGTGGAAATGCTGGGACAGCTTCAGCGGCACCTGGAACCCATCATGGTCCTTTCTGGTCTGGAGCTGGCTACTACTTTTGAGCATTTCTACCAGTGAGTGTAGGAGATGGGAGGCCTCATGTCTAGAGAAGTGGAGATTTGAGTCTTAGAGGGAAGATGTGGGAAGAAACAACGGGGAAAAGAGAGATTAAGATATGGAAATGGCTGTGCACTGGTGGAAAGGGAGTGGGAAGGAAGAGGTGAGCTAGGGGCTATGACTCAGGCAGGCTACACCAGAGGAGCCCACGTTCTGGAGTGGGTGGCTGGGCCTGGGCCATGTGGACACCCACACTGAAGCTTAGTCTGGGCTGTGCGCTGCAGGCACTACATGGCAGACCGGCTCCTGAGCCTGGGCTCCAGCTGGCTGGAGGGGGCCGTGTTGGAGCAGATCGGCCTCTGCTTCCCCAACCGCCTCCCGCAGCTGATGCTGCAGAGTCTGAGCACCTCAGAGGAGCTGCAGCGCCAGTTCCACCTCTACCAGCTCCAGCGGCTTGACAAGTTGCTCTTGGAGCAGGAGGACGAGGAGGAACAGGGCCTGGAGGAAGAGGAGGTAAGAGCAGGAGAAAGAGTGAGAGCTAGAAGAGCAAGAAAAGACTAGATGAAAGAAGGGAGTCCAAGGGCCCTTGAAATCCTTCTATCCCTCAGGAGGAAGAGGAGGCTGAGAAAGAACTGTTTATTGAAGATCTGAGTCCAACAGTTTCCATACTGGTCCTGTCACCTCGCTGCTGGCCTGTCTCCCCACTCTGCTACCTGTACCATCCCAGAAAGTGCCTTCCCACAGAGTTCTGTGACGCCCTTGACCGCTTCTCCAACTTCTACAGTCAGAGTGAGAGCTAGGGAGAGGACATGCAAGATCGGGGGATTTGGGGTGGCCAGAGAGGAAAAGGAGTGAGCCGTAAATAGGAATGTGTATATGTATGTGTGTGTGTGTGAGAGAGAGAGTGTGTGTGTGTATATATACCGTACATATATAATATATAAACATCAACCTCCTAGGGAGGGTGAAAAAGTATCGGTTTACATAAATGTAAATTTATGCTTTTATCAGTTCCTTCAACTTTCTCTGAATTTGTTCCATTTTCTTTCTCTAACTTCAGGCTGCATGCTTACTTAATTTTTAGTCTTTTTAGACTTCTTTCCAAATAAAAGTATATAGGGAACCGGCAGTTAGCATAATGGCTATGTCACTGGACTCCCATGCAGTCACCTGCGGTTCGCGTCCCGGACCCGGTGGCTTAAAACTCATGCTGGGCGCGGGTGTGTGCGTGCCCAAGATCCCGAGAGGAGAATGGAGGAGAAGGGATTGTGGCATGACCATCCCCCCTGGGGGGGTGATTTCTCGCTTTCTGTCTCTATGTCTCTCTCTGTCTGGTGAGCGCACGCGCCCTATAGTGAAAAAAAAAAAAAAAAAAAAAAAAACCTCTCCAAATAAAAGTATATAAACCTGTTCATTTTCCCCTCCCTGTTGCTTTAACTGCATCCTGTGATTTTTTTTTTTTTCTTTTGAGAGGTTTTTGCTGTAGGGCGCATGCGCTTTTCAAAAAGACAGAGACAGAAAGTGAGAACCCCTCCCCCCTATGGGGGTTGGCCACACTGCAATCCCTTCTCCTCCATTCTCTTCTCGGGATCTTGGGCACGCATGCACACGCGCCTGGTGTGAGTTTAAGCCACCAGGTCCCAGGACTTGATCCATGGTGGACTACATAGGAGTCCAACAACATAACCATTACGCCAACTGCCGGTCCTGTATCCTATGAATTTTTTAAAAAGAGTTTTAAAATTGAGGGATAACTATAGTCTGAGACTTGAACCGTGTCAGTCGTATGGGATCCCAGAACCTTAACCACCACGCCATCTCCTGGCCCCAGTATATCTTTTTCTCTTCTTTTACTTCTTTTTTTTTTTAATAGAGGTTTTTGCTATAGGGAGCATGCACTTGCCAGAAAGACAGAGAGAGACAGAGAGATAAAGCGAGAAATCACCCCTTGGGGTTGATGGTCACGCCGCAATCCCTTCTCCTTCATTCTCCTCTCAGGATCTTGGGCATGCACGCACACGCCCGGCGTGAGTTTAAGTCCCAGGTCTGGGACTCCAACTGTGGTCGACTACGTGGGAGTCCAGCGACAGCCTTTACGCTAACTGCTGGTCCCTCTTCTTTTACTTTTTTTGTTTTGCGTTGGAAGAAGTTCTGAAACTTTTAGTTCTCTTTTTTCATTGTGTTGAAATATGTCTAATGTGACATTTGCCATTTTAACCATTTAAGTATACAATTCAGTTTTCTTTCACCTTTTAAAAATTTGATTTATTTACTTTTTTTTTTTTTATCACCAGAGAGCACTTATACTTGACAGAAAGACAGAAAGAGAGAGAGCAAGAACACACCCTCAACCCCACCGTGGGAGCTGAGACCTAGTCATGCTGCAGTCCCTTCTCCTTTATTCCTCCAGGGTTTTAGGCATGCACACACATGCACCTGGTAGGCTTCTCAAGCCGCTGGGTTGTAATTCGAACTCATCACTCATGTGGGCTCTGGCTCCTTTAACCTGAGCTACTGGGCCAACCCAGTTATCCCTTCACTAATTTTTTTTTAATTCGAAAGTAATTTCAAATTTATAGAAAAATTGGAAGAATGATCCCCTTTATTCAAGTTCACCAACAAAATGTTAATGTTTTTTTTGACATTTGCTTTTATCATTGGCTCTTTGTGTATGTGTTTACACACACACACACACACACACACACACACACAGAGCAAATGTTTATACACACACAGAGCAAATGTTTATATATATATACACATACACACAGAGCCAATGATAAAAGTGCATATATGTACATAAACTTTTTTCTGAACCATTAAGAGTAAATTGTATATATGCTGGTGCTTTGCCCATAAGTACTTCAGTATATATTTCCTAAGAATAAAGATATTTTCTCTCCTTTTTTTTTTTTTTTTAAGTTTTTGCCTAGGATGCATATACTCGCCAGAGAGAGACAGAGAGGAAAAGTAAGAAATCACCCCCAGGGGAGGATGGCTATTCCATAGTTCCTTCCCTTCCATTCTCCTCTCAGGATTTTGCACTTGCATACACATGTGATTTTCAAGCTACCAGGTACAAGACTCAAACCTCAGTTGGCCATGTAGGAATTCAACATCTTAACCAGCATGCCACCTGTTGGCTCCGAATAAAGATATTCTTTTACACAGTTATTTTATCAGTTTCAAAAATGTAATATGGAGGGAACCAGCAGTTAGTGTAATGGCTATGTCGCTGGATTCCCACGTAGTCGACCGCGGTTCGCGTCCCGGACCCGGTGGCTTAAAACTCACGCCGGGCGCGTGTGCGTGCGTGCCCAAGATCCCGAGAGGAGAATGGAGGAGAAGGGATTGCGGCGTGACCATCCCCTCTGGGGGGTGATTTCTCGCTTTCTGTCTCTCTGTCTCTCTCTGTCTGTCTGGCGAGCACACGCGCCCTATAGCGAAAACCTCTCAAAACAAAACAAAACAAAACAAAAAACAAACAAACAAAAAATGTAATATGGAATGATACCTTAATCTATTTTCCATTTTCCAGTTTTGTTAATTGACCCATACTATGTTCTAGGACTTTTTCCAGGACAGGATCCAGTGTCAGATCTCCAGTCATGTTGGGACCAGCAGTTAGCGTAATGGCTATGTCGCTGGACTCCCACGTAGTCGACCGCGGTTCGTGTCCTGGACCTGGTGGCTTAAAACTCACGCTGGGCGCATGTGCGTGCATGCCCAAGATCCAGAGAGGAAGACGGAGGAGAAGGGATTGCGGAGGAGAAGGGATTGCGGCGTGGCCATCCCCCAGGGGGGTGATTTCTCGCTTTCTGTCTCTGTCTCTCTCTGTCTGGTGAGTGCACGCGCCCCATAGCAAGAACTTCTCCAAAAAAAAAGATCTCCAGTCATGTTTAGTTGTTATGCCTCTTTAATCTCCCTTTTTTAAAGAGAGGTTTTTGCTATACTGCATGTGCGCTTGCTGGAGAGACAGACAGAGACAAAAAGTGAGAAATCACTCCCCAGGGGGATGGTCAAGCCACAGTTCTTTCTCCTCCATTCTTTTCTCAGGATTTTGGGCACACACACACACACATGCCAGTGTGAGTTTTAAGCTTCTGGTTCCAGGACTCAAACCATGATCAAATATGTGTGAGTCCAGCGACATAACCATTAAATCTAAATCTAAACCTAAATCTCCTTCAATCTAGAGCAGTTCTTCAGCCTTTCTTTGTCTTTTAGGTCATTGACATATTGGAGGATACTGTCCTTAAAAATAATTTTTTTTCAGAGATTTCTTTTCTTTTTTTTTTTTTTTTTTTTTGCTATGGTGGGGTGTGTACACTCTCCAGAGAGACAGAAAATGAGAAATCACCCACAAGAGGGGATAGCCACACTGCAATCTCTTTTCCTCCATTCCTCTTAGGATTTGGGACACACACACACACATGCCTGGTGTGAGTGTCAAGCCACTGGGTCTGGGATTCAGACTGGGATTGGCCATGTGGGAACCTAGTGTCTCAACCACCATGCCACCTGCTGGTCCCCAATTTTTAAAAAATTAGGTATTTATTTTTATTGCCAGAGAATGTGTGCACTTGCTAGAGTGAGAGAGAGAACATGATCCAGTGGGCCGTGGTCACCCGATCCTTCTATTTCTCCATCCCGTCAGGTTACTGGGCTTGCATGCACACACACCCAGCATGTTTTTTAAGCCACTGGGGCCAGGACTCAAACTTCAGTCAGCCATGTGGGATCTGACTATCTATATACAGTGCGTAATCATTGCACAATGGGGCTGACCCTAAAAAATTTTTGTTTTATTTATGGTAGAGCGAGAAATACCCTTGACAGGGTGTTACCATGCTATGGTCTCCCACTCCAACCCTCCAGACCATTAGGGTCCCAAGCACTCACATACGCTTGGTGTTGTGTAACAAACATACTGCAGTTCAGTATGGCACCAGACTGGGCCTACATTCTTTAAATAGTTCCGCATTTAAAATTTCTATGTTGGGGGCCAGCAGGTGGCATAGTGATTAAGGCGCTGGATTCCCACATGGTTGACTGCAGTTCTAGTCCCGGAACCGGCGGCTTGAAACTCATGTCAGGCCTGTGTGCGTGCCCAGAAATCCCAAGAAGAGAAGAGTAGTGATTGCTGTGTGACTGTTCATCCCCCTGGGGGGCGATTTCTTACTTCCTCTCTCTGTCTCTCTTTGTGTGTGAGTACACTACACACGCCCCATAGCAAAAATCTCTCTTAAAAAACAAATGGTGGGACCAGCAGTTAGTGTAATGGCTATGTCACTGGACTCCCATGTAGTCGACCACGGTTCGAGTCCTGGACTCAGTAGCTTAAACTCACGCTGGGCACGTGCATGTGCGTGCTCAAGATCCCGAGAGGAGAATGGAGGAGAAGGGATTGTGGCATGGCCATCCCCCCTGGGGGGTGATTTCTCACTTTCTGTCTCTGTCTCTCTCTGTCTTTCTGGCGAGCACACGCCCAATAGCTAAAAACTTCTCAAAAAAAAAAAAAAAAAAGGTATGTTATTTCCTTATGATTAGATTCAGAGTATGCAGTCTCGTGTGAATACTAAGTAAATGACATTATGAACTTAGTAAGGTATTACAGTTTCCATGCGCCCTCATTCGTGATGCTAATTTTGACAACATGGTCAAGAGGGTGTTTGATTTCTCCACTACAGAGTTAATATATTTTTTCTTGCTACTATTAATAGAAATCTGCGGGGAGAGATAGTATTAAACTATGCCAATATTCTACTTTTATCACCTTTCCCCAAGAATCATTTTATTTTTAAACTTTGCCATACCTTTATGTTTTAGACATGTATTTTATAAATACCTAGAATTTGTTTTTGTTTTATTTGACAACCTCTTTATCTTAAAAAAAAAAAAAAAGAGGCGGGGTGGGACCAGCAGTTGGCGTAATGGCTATGTCCTTGGACTCCCATATAGTCGACTGCGGTTCGAGTCCCCAACTCAGTGGCTTACACACGCCGGGTGCATGTGCATGCATGCCCAAGATCCCAAGAGGAGAATGGAGAAGGGATTGCGGCATGAGTTTAAAGGTTTTTGCCACAGGGCCTGTGTTCTTGTCAAAGAGAGACAGTGAGAAGGAAAATGAGAAATCATCCCCAAATGGCCACACTGCAGTCCCTTCTCCCCTATCCTCCTGGGATTTGGAGCATGTACACACACGTGCCTGGCATGATTTTCAAGCCACCGGGTCCAAGACTTGAACCATGTGATAGCTATGTGGGGTGCAGCTGCCTTAACCTCCATGCCACATGCTGGCCTCTTTTCTTGGCATTTTAAATTTTGTTCAGTTATTTCATGAAGATCCAAACAAGACCCATTCATTGTCTTTGGTTGAGTCTCATATCGCTTATATTTTATATCACTTCATCTGTAGGTTCCACCTCCCTTTTTTCTCTCTCTCTTTTTTTTTTTTTGAGAGAGATTTTCACTGTAGGGTGCGTGCGCTCGCCAGACAGACAGAGAGAGACATAGAGACAGAAAGCGAGAAATCACCCCCCAGCGGGGATGGTCACGCCGCAATCCCTTCTCCTCCATTCTCCTCTCGGGATCTTGGGCACGCACGCACACGTGCCCGGCGTGAGTTTTAAGCCACCGGGTCCGGGACGCGAACCGCGGTCGACTACGTGGGAGTCCAGCGACATAGCCATTACGCTAACTGCTGGTTCCCCATTTTTTCTCTCTTGAAATGTTTTCATGAAAGAAATTGGGTTATTTGTCCATTAACCCAGGCTGGATTCTACTGATTGCACCCACATGGTGTCCTCTGACACGTTCCTCTGTCTCTTATTTCCTGAAAAAGAGATTCAGGTGTAGATCCTTATTCAGATTTGTGTCTGACTTCCTGGGCAAGAAGGCTTCTTTAGTGGCATTGTGTCTTCCCCCGAGAGGCAAGTTCAGCTAACTGCCGCCCGATGTTAAGATGGGTCAGTGGGTCTCAGTGCTGTTGGTCTCATCTGCACATCTGTGTGATTTTTCATTACTGTCGCTAGGTCTGTTGTCTCATTAGGGTTTCTGAGACAGTGACATCCTAGCTCTGTTACCCCTTCATGTATTGGCTAGAACGCTTTCTCTATAAGAAGAGTCTCTCACCAATTATTTGGTTGCCCTGATGTACAGCTTACACAGGAAAGGCTTAATTCTTTCCCTTTTCTCCTTATTTTAAATTAGTTTTTTGAAAAGTGTGTGTTGGGACCAGCAGTTAGCGTAATGGCTATGTTGCTGGACTCCCACAGTCAACCGCAGTTAGAGTCCTGGACTTGGTGGCTCACATTCAGCGCTGGGCGCGTGTGCGTGCGTGCCCAAGATCCCGAGAGGAGAATGGAGAAGGGATTGCGGCGTGGGCATCCCCCCTGGCCAGCGCCGTAAGAAAAAACCCCCTCTAAAAAAAAAAAAAAAAAAAAAAAAAAAAGATGTGTTGGTCTTAATACTCTGAAAACAGTAGGTATTTTTAAAAATACCATTATGAGCTCATGATTTGGAGCTACTTCGTGTGTGTCCATCATGCCTCAGCAGTGTTTTGTTGTTGGCTTGTTTGTTTTTATACTCAGACCGTCCTGTGGTTGGCTGTAGACTAGCTCTCGGGTTGGCTCCTGACTCCTTTCAATATTGTCTCCCTTTGATAGCTTCCTTGCTTTCTAGAACGAGCAAATGTTCCTGGCTTTCCTCTCCTGGGCTATGACCCAGGAGGAAGAAGAAACCCAGCCTGGTGGGTCTTTCAGACTGTGAGCTCAAGGGCAGGGTGCAGGGCTCCTCTTGCACTTCTCCACGATGCCTGAGAGGCACTGAGCTGGGTGCAGTGGGCTCCTAGACACCTGTGGCTTTCTGGGGAGGTGGCCCCAGGAAAGGTGTCTCTGTCAAGCAGGGGCCTCCTTCCTGCAGGGACTAGCGGGAGCAAGCTGGAACCTCAGCCCCATTTCCCTACTTTTTATCTCCATCCTTCTCGACTCTTCCTAGGTCAGAGCCATCCAGTCCTGGACGTGGGGCCTCATCGGCGACTGCAGTGGACGTGGCTGGGCCAGGCTGAGCTACAGTCTGGGGAGCAGACCCTGCATGTGTCCACCGTGCAGATGTGGCTGCTGCTGCACTTCAACCAGACGGAGGTGCCTCTCCTTCGCCTCACCCCGTCTTCTCTGCCACCTCTCTGTCGTTCTTCTGAACCCCACTCTCCCTCCACCTTTCCTCTCCTCTTACTTTCCTTCCCTTGGCCTCAACTCCTGATTGGCCTATCTGTCCTCACCAGGAGGTGTCAGTAGAGACCTTGCTGAAGGAGTCTGACCTCTCCCCAGAGCTACTGCTCCAGGCACTTCTGCCCCTCACCTCTGAGAATGGCCCTCTGACCCTGCATGAGGGTCAGGACCTGCTGCATGGGGGTAGGTCAGTGGGGACAGGGCTGAGCCTCTGCTGCAGGGTGCGGGGAGAGAAGGAGGGGAAAGAACGCGGTCTTCCTAGCCCCCACTCATCTGTCCCTGCTCCTCTTTGGGTCCCTGACTGAGAGTGGGTTCTAGGTGTGCTGCGGCTTTGTGAGCCTGGACCCCAGCCTGATGGGGAGGCCCTGTGGCTGATACCACCCCAGAAGTACCTGAATGTAGAGAAGGATGAGGGCCGGACCCTGGAACAGAAGAGGAACCTCTTGAGCTGCCTTCTTGTCCGCATTCTCAAAGCCCACGGGGATAAGGGCCTCCACATTGACCAACTGGTTTGTCTGGTAGGAGGAGAGGGGACCACGAAGTGGCGAAGTGGTGAGAGGGAGGGAGTCATGCGTGGGGTTGGGGGTTAGAACCAAAGGTTGTCCAAGGAAAGACAGACGCCCTCATGGTGAGAGCTCTGTGGGGCGACATTTCCATCAGGGTTTTCTACTCCCAGACAGTGTATTGGGAGGCAGAGCTAACACCTCCATATTTACCATGGCTCGGCCCCATTCTCAGTTCACGGGATTAAGCCACCTAGTCCTCACAACACCGTAAGAGATAAGTACTGCCATTGAGCCAGGTGTTGCGCCAGGCAGACCGGCTGCCTGGGTGACCGTGGCCTACTGTCTTTCCTCCCATCCAGGTTCTGGAGGCCTGGCACAAGGGCCCCAACCCCCCTGGGAGCCTGGGCCGAGCTGTGGCTGGGGGTGTGGCCTGCACCAGTTCAGATGTCCTCTCCTGCATCCTGCACCTCCTGGGCCAGGGCTACGTGGAGCGGCGTGATGACCGGCCCCAGATCCTGATCTATGCCGCTCCAGAGCCTGTGGGGCCCTGCCGGGGCCAGGCAGACATCCCTTTCTGTGGCGGCCAGAGCACCAACACCTCCAGGCCGAGGTAGCTACCTCTGCCCCCTCGCATTGAGATGGGAGGGGGTTACTGCCAAAGCCAGGTGCCCGAAACATTTTCCTTTCTTTTTCTAATCCCACTTCCCTTATCACTGTCATTTTCCCCACTTTGCTGGTTTTCATTCCCCCTCCCCGCACTCCTGTCCCCTCCCTTGCCCACCTGGACCTTACTGTCCTCATCCTCCTGGAGCCGACTCTCAGGCGGGGGACTCAGACACTTGAGTTCTGTTACGGATGTCTGTCATTCTAAGCAAACGTAAAGTCTTCTGCAACCATGTATTAAGTGCTCATAACTCCTCACCCTGCTCAGTGAAATACACAAACTTTCAGGAAGTATGTTCTACAGAGTAATTTGCCATGAACTGCTCTCATTATCCGGCATCCCTACAGCGTTTAAGAGCAGCTCCGGCTGTTATGTCATAACCAGAAGCTGTTATGACAACTTTTCTGCCTGCTGCTTGTATTGTGTGTGAAATGTGTTCCCAAGAGTGATCTTTCCCAAACCTCAGCACGCATGCACCTCACCAAGGAACGTGTTTCAGTGCAGCTCACATTTCCGTGTGCCCAGGCTGCTGGTCCACGAGCTGCACCTTGCACAGCAAGGCTGTAGACTCCTGTTTCTCACTGGAAGTGCCTTTCGTCTGGGCCCTACAGTGGGATCGTACCATCCACTATTGGTCACTTAGTATCCTGACCCTTGCCCAGTAGATACCTGTAGTGCCTTCAGACACTGGGATCACCAGCTGCCCTCCCACATTTACAAAGGCTTCTGCAGAGGATTGCATTGAAACAGTTGGTTCAGGGGAACCAGCAGTTAGCGTAATGGCTATGTTGCTGGACTCCCACGTGGTCGACTGTGGTTCGTGTCCCGGACCCAGTGGCTTAAAACTCATGCCGGGCGCGCGTGCGTGCGTGCCCAAGATCCTGAGAGGAGAATGGAGGAGAAGGGATTGCGGTGTGACCAGCCCCCCTGGGGGGTGATTTCTCGCTTTCTGTCTCTCTGTCTCTCTCTGTCTGTCTGGCGAGCGCACGCGCCCTATAGCAAAAAAAACCTCTCCAAAAAAAACCCAAAAAACCAGTTAGTTCAGGAGGTTACCCTTAGGCTGGTGTCACAAGCCCAAGAAAGGATGCACAAGCAGGGAGCTGGGGGTCAGCTTGGGCTCAGCATACTGGTTGACACTGACTACTGTCTCTTCTCTTCCCCAAGCCCAGAAGCTGTGGCTGCCTTGGCATCTCTACAGCTGCCTGCAGGCCGCACCATGAGCCCCCAGGAGGTGGAAGGGTTGATGGAGCAGACAGTGCGGCAGGTGCAGGAGACACTGAATTTAGAGCCAGATGTGGCTCAGCACCTGCTAGCTCATTCGCACTGGGGTGCCGAACAGCTGCTGCAGAACTACAGTGATGACCCTGAGCCGCTGCTGCTGGCAGCCGGGCTGTGCGTGCCCCAGGCCCAGGCTGCCACGGTACGCCCTGACCTCTGCCCCGTCTGTGTCAGCCCCCTGCAGCCTGACGATGACTTGCCTACTCTCTGCTGTAGCCACTACTGCTGTAAGGTGAGGCCCTGCCAATTCCTGTCATGCTTCTGGCTTTCTGCCCTAATGCAACTCTGTGGAAACCTGGGTTAGCCCCACACCGTGTTTCCTCAGCTTTGTATACGTCTCTCAGTCCCTCTGGATCTGGTGTTATCTTCTGTAGGTGGCATCAGCGCCTTGATGCTCTGAAGGGTGGTTGTTAGGATCCAGAAATACCTGTCGGTGGTTTTCAAACTCTGTTGCATGGGGGCTTTTGAAAGTCCTGATGCTCAGACTGTCCTCCAGGCCAATTAAATCAGAATCTCAGGAAGTAAGACTCAGGCATCCGGAATTTTAAAAGCTCCTCAGGTGATTCCAGTTCCCAACCACTGTTGAATATACACACAAACATACACTAGGGGACTTAAGAACATGCATGGGAAAAGGTGGTTAGAATACGAGTTTATTTGGTACAGAAACTTTTACAGAAACTTTTTTGCAATCCACACATAGTTTATCCATACTATGTGTTTCCATGAACTTACTGAAAACCACGTGTGTGTGTGTGTGTGTGTGTGTGTGTGTGTGAACGGGCCTAAAATCCTGAGAGGAGGATGGAGGAGAAGGCACTTCTTCACCGAGGGATGATATCTCACTTTCTCTCTGTTTCTCTCTGGTGAGTGCATGTACCCTGTGGAAAAAAAACCTTAAAAATAAAAATAAAAAAGTTAATGTAGACATCGACTTACCTGCAACGTATGTAGTAGACATATTAAAATTCTTGCCAATGGCCTGTCATTATACCTGTATTTAAGTCCAAAATTGGTAACGTGGCCAGGAGCCCCATTTCCCTTCCCGGGCTCTGCACGCGGTCTCTCCGCCGTGTCCCTGTGGGATTCTGGAAAGCACCTGCCCTTGCACCAGGCCCCTGCAGCCCTGCTTTCCTCTCCAGAAAGAGCACTTCCTTTCCACCGTGAGCCTGACCCCCAACCACCTGTCAGTCACTGTTGACAGCCTGTCCTCTTCGAGCAGCCCTGGCTTCCCAACCTACACTGAGCAGCACCCCCTGCATTTTTATAATAGCTCTTAGAATAATTCACTCTTACTTGCATGGTTATTTATTTAACACCTGCCATTGTCACCCTCCCAGGACCGCGTCCGCTCTGAATTCCTGAGAAGTACTTTATAACTTCTTTATCCTTGGACTATACTTACAAGAACATTACATTTTCATTTTTTCTCCCTTCAGACGGAGTTGGAAAATCAATCAATACAAAGAAAGTGTATTTTTGGTTTAGATTTCTGAGTACCTGTGGGCAGCAAGTGTCAGAGCTAAATCCCACAGCACCGGAAGGAGCTACTGCTTCATCAGGCCTCTTCCAGCAGTTAAAGAGCTCATGTGGGAAACGGGGACAGCAGTTATTATTTTTTAAATGTTTGCTAAAGCAGCGAATCCCATCTAACATTTTGAGTGTTTAATGATGATATATTTATATACCTCCATATAAGGAAAGATTAAAGACACCAGTTGATCACTTTTGACAGTTTTCAGAACACCGCATACATATTTCATAAGTTTTATTATAAATTCAATATAATTGCTGTTGAGTAGTTACACTGATTTTCAGTTCTCGTGGAGAAGATGGTTGTAATGATTCTTTAAGGGTTTCAGAAATCAACTCAATAAAAACTTAGCATGCCTAGAAGGTTTCTGAAATTTGCACATGCACTCATAATCTTATTCACTCTCTAGACCTTGACAACTCTGTACGGGAGGAGGGGGTGGGGGCATGCCTTCCCGAGTCTCCTGAGTGGGGTGCTTCGGAGTTACGTGCTAGTAAGAAAGAGTGGGAACCGCAGACCCGCGCTTCTGTTTTATGGCTCACCGCGAGCCTCGCCTCCGGGCAGCCGGGCTGTGCGTGCCCCAGGCCCAGGCTGCCACGGTACGCCCTGACCTCTGCCCCGTCTGTGTCAGCCCCCTGCAGCCTGACGATGACTTGCCTACTCTCTGCTGTAGCCACTACTGCTGTAAGGTGAGGCCCTGCCAATTCCTGTCATGCTTCTGGCTTTCTGCCCTAATGCAACTCTGTGGAAACCTGGGTTAGCCCCACACCGTGTTTCCTCAGCTTTGTATACGTCTCTCAGTCCCTCTGGATCTGGTGTTATCTTCTGTAGGTGGCATCAGCGCCTTGATGCTCTGAAGGGTGGTTGTTAGGATCCAGAAATACCTGTCGGTGGTTTTCAAACTCTGTTGCATGGGGGCTTTTGAAAGTCCTGATGCTCAGACTGTCCTCCAGGCCAATTAAATCAGAATCTCAGGAAGTAAGACTCAGGCATCCGGAATTTTAAAAGCTCCTCAGGTGATTCCAGTTCCCAACCACGTTTGAAGATACACACAAACATACACTAGGGGACTTAAGAACATGCATGGGAAAAGGTGGTTAGAATACGAGTTTATTTGGTACAGAAACTTTTACAGAAACTTTTTTGCAATCCACACATAGTTTATCCATACTATGTGTTTCCATGAACTTACTGAAAACCACGTGTGTGTGTGTGTGTGTGTGTGTGTGTGTGTGTGTGTACAATATGTCAAGGCACTTTGAAACAATTGTTACTAGATTGGGGATGACTGTAGTTCATGGTTTCCTTATCGCCATCCACGTTACCTCATTTTAGAACATCATCACCTCCTAATCATGTATTCTTACTTAATACAAAAACAGAAAAGGAATAGACCACGAGTCACACAAAAGTAGAGGGCGTGGGGGAGCGAGGCCGTCTGCTGCCCAGCAGGTGCAGAGAGGCTCACGGATGGAGTGGTCTGCTGAGGAGGGAAGGGGGCACCGAGGTGCTGAGAGGTGCAGCGTGCTGAGTGTGATATTCCCTGCCTCGCAGCTCCTTAGACTTGGTGCAGAGTCCATACACGTCCACGTACCAAGAGGAGCCCTCCTCGTTGCCCTGAGTTCTAGCTGCCTCTCCCACCAGCGTCTCCTCCGTGGTGGGTGATTGGGGACATGTGCATTTGCGTGTGTGTGCGTGCACGCACATGTGTGTTTTTCTCTTTCTCTCTCGCTCTGCTTCTAGTTCCCCTTCTCACATAGTTGCTTGGTCGCCCTTTTCCCCAGACTATTAATCATTTCCTTTGCACTTCGATTTTTTTCATTCAACTAATATCTGTCATGACCTGTAATGTGCACAGCGCTCAGTGCTGTGGGAGGAAGAAAGTCAAACAAGACATGATCTGTAAGCTACTAAGCAGCTGATATTTATGGGGAGGTCACGCCGGGTCAGGCATTGTGTTGTTTACATGTATTATTTTACTTAATTTGTAATAGTTTTTTTGAGGTAGGTACTTTTATTAAGCCTGTTTTACAGATGATAGAGGAAGGTACTCAGAGGTGAAATCATTTGCCCATTCAGGATTCAAATTTCGGCAGTTTCACTCCAAGGGTCTCTCTCCTCTTTTTTTTTTTTTTTTTTTTTTTTTTTTGAGAGGTTTTCGCGATAGGGCACGTGCACTCACCAGACAGACAGAGAGAAACAGAGAGAAAGCGAGAAATCACCCCCCAGGGGGGATGGTCACGCCGCATTCCCTTCTCCTCCGTTCTCTTCTCGGGATCTTGGGCACGCACACACACGTGCCCGGCGTGAGTTTTAAGCCGCCGGGTCCCCTGGTGTGTTTTTCAAGATGACGGGTCTCAAACCACAGTTGGCCATGTGGGATCCAGCTGCCTTAAGCACCAGGCCACAGGTTGCCCCCTGAACCCAACTTTTATGGTAAATGAAGAGAAGAAGATATGAGGGCTTTTTAAAAAAATTCACTAAAAATTTGTATTGTGAAAAAACTATGGGACTAACCAGTAGCATGGTGGTTAAGGCACCTGGATCCCACATGGCCGACTGTGTAGTTCCAGTCCCAGACCCGGCAGCCTGAAAAATACACTGGGCACATGTGCATGCATGTGCAAAATCCCGACATGAGGGAGAAATGGAGAGAGGATTGCGGCATGACCCTCCTCTCCAAAGGGATGCTTTCTTACTTTCCCATTCTGTCAGTATCTCTCTCTGATAGGTGCCTTAAAAAAAGGTAAGCATAGGGGCCAGCAGGTGGCGTGGTGGTTAAGAGCCTTGGACTCCCACATGGCTGATGGCCCGGAAGTGGCAGCTTGCTTTCTCACTTTCCCTCTCTTTCTCTCACTCTGTCCCTCTCTGGTCAAATTTAAATAAATACATACAGTTACATTTTTTAAAAAAAGATAAGGATAAAAAAAGAATAGGAAAAATCTATAAGTGTATTTTCAAAACTTCTTTATACAAAATTAAACCATACTTTTTTTATTTAAAGAGAGATTTTTGCTGTAGGGCACATGCACTCACTGGAGACAGAGAGATGGAAAGCAAGAATCACCCCCCCACCCCCCCGCAAGGGGATGGCCATGCCACAATCCCTTCTCTATTCTCTCAGGATCTTGGGCATGCACACACATGTGCCTGGCGTGAGTTTTAAGCCACTGGCTCTGGGCCTCAAACTGTGGCTAACTACGTGGGAGTAGTTGACATAACCATTACACCATCTCCTGGTCTCCCAAAATAAACCATACTTTCAATACCATTTTTCCACAAATTGCTGAAGTATGCTTGTATTGTTGGGTGATGTCAGAGGAAGTGACTGAGGGTTGGAGTAGGGATGAGGGTCTTGTGCTTTGGATTGGAAAGGTCAGGTAAACCTGTCTGAGGAGGTGCCCTCTCTGGGAAGAGTGTTGCAGGCAGGGAGGTGCAAGAGTAAAGGAGGTGAGCTTGGTGGCCAGCACAGAACTGGGAGACAGGCAGGCTGGGAAGGTGCACAGGGGCTGGGCCAGGTGGGGTTCACAGATTCTGTTTCATGGGAAGCTGTGGTGGGTTTTAATCAGAGGAGTGATATGATCTGGTTTACATTTTTTAAGAGTTTTTCTCTTTTTTTTTTGCTATAGGGTACATGCACTCGTCAGAGAGACAGAAAGTGAGAAATCACCCCCCAGGGTGGGACCAGCAGCGGACATAATAGCTATGTCGCTGGACTCCCATGTAGCCAACCACAGTTTGAGTCCCGGATCTGGTGGCTTAAAGTCACACCGGGCGCGTGTGCGTGCGTGCCCAAGATCCCGAGAGGAGAATGGAGGAGAAGGGATTGTGGTGTGGCCATCACCCCTGGGGGGTGATTTCTCACTTTCTGTCTCTCTGACGAGTGCATGTACCCTATAGCAAAAAAACAACCTCTCAAAAAAAAAAAAAAAAAAAAAAGATGACTTTGGCCCTTGTGTGGAGAAAAGGCTTGGAAGGAAGAGAGTTGCTGTGCAAAGAAGCAAGGAGTGGCGGTGCTTTGGACCGGGCAGTGGTGAAGTGGGCAGATCAGGGGTATTGGAGACAGAGCTGGTCGGACCTTACAGACTGGGTGTGGAGGCTCCAGACAGAATCAAGAATGATTCCTGTTTTGGCCCTGAGCACTATCTTGCTGAGCTGGAGGAAGAGCTGGGGCTGGGGCTCAGGGGTGGAGAGCAGGTTTTTGAAAGGGAATTCAGTCTGTTGTGGCTCTATCCCATTTGAGCTGCTAGTTGGATACCTGTATGGGACTGGCAGGTGGGTGGATCAAAGATTTTAAGGGACCAGCAGTTAGCGTAATGGCTACGTTGCTGAACCCCCATGTAGTTGACCATAGTTTGAGTCCCAGATCCGGTGGCTTAAACTCACGCTGGGCACATGTGCGTGCATGCCCAAGATCCTGAGAGGAGGATGGAGGAGAAGGGGTTGCAGCCTGGCCATCCCCCCGGGGGGGTGATTTCTCACTTTCTGTCTCTCTTTCTGGCAAGCGCACATGCCCTATAGCAAAAACCTCTCCAAAAAAAAGAAAGATCTTTTTTTTTAAGAATTATTCTATCATCATCATTATTATTAGTTTTAATTTGGTCAGAGACAGGGGTAAAGTGAGTAAAGCAAGCTTACAGGTCCAAGACTTGAACTACAGTCAGCCGTGTGGGAGTCCAGCATCTTTAACTACCACACTACCTGCTGGCCCCTAGGATTTGTTCTTTAAAATTTTGCCAGAGGGCGTGTACGCTTGCCAGAGAGAGAGGGAGAGGAGAAAGCACCCCAAATGGGGAATAGTAACACCACAGTCCCTTTTCCTCCATCTCTCCACCCTGTCAGGATTTGGGGTACACCTGCACGCTCACCCTGAGTGTTCTGCAAGCCAGTGGATCAGTCATGTGAGATCCAGCTCTCATAACTACCAGGCCCCTGGGCCAACCCGGACAGTGGACTTTGAATTTGGAATGAAGTGGCAAAGCCTGGCTAAAACCCTCCAGGGAAGGGAAGTAGGTGCAGGAGACTGTCCATCCTGTAGAGATGGACAGACAGGGAGCCTGAAGCATGACTGAGAAAAGCAGGCAGACTGAAACAGCCCAGCCAACGAGGAGTCTGCAAGTCACAGCAGAGTAGCTCGAACTGTGATACAGGAGAAGCCAGAGGAGGGCAGTCCCGGGACTGTGGGCCCCGACAGCAGGTGGGGCTCGCAGAGGGCAGGCAGCACTGCGCTTTGCCTTTTGGGCTGGACCCGGGCAGCAGGGTAGGCCAGAGCAGGAGATGCTCCTTGGTGGGGTGGGGGTGTCGCCAGACTGAGATGCCAAGATTTTTGTCCTGCAGGACTGTGAGGGACCTGAGGCAGCTGCGTGCCTACAAATCTGGGGTCTGAATTTGCAGAAATTGTCTATTTTATCTCAAAAGAATTTTGCATTCCATTTCCCAATCTGTCCAGGTTTGTTTCACTATAAAAAGGGTTTGGCATGGTATTTTCCTTTGAGTAGAAATGGCCCCGTTAGGTGCTTTACATTTACCCCGGAGTCCCGATGCCCCATCCATGTGGGCCCTCCCCCTGGGGATTAGACCCATCATTCTGGAAAGCTTGGCTGCATGCGCTGTGAGGGGAGGGTCGCAGGTCAGTGTCGGGGTGCAGGTCCCTGCGAGGGCACATCTGGTGGCAATGTGGGAGGCTGTTATCAGGATAGACTCTTACAGCCTTGAGGGGTGAGGGGATAAGATAAGATCCCAGTGCAGGGTGGAGCGGCGATGCGTGGGCCAGAGCAGAATCTGGAGATGCAAAGGCTCGAGCCTGGTGGGGGGGTGGTGACACCAGTGACGGGGATGGGGGTCGCAGTGAGCAGGTCTGTCCGAGTGACGAGGCTGGAGCTGGGCCATCAGGCACCCTAGGAGAGCCTGGGCTGTGCTGGGGCTGTGGGGGAAGGGGCAGCCACTCAGGAGTGAGCCCACTTGCCCAGGCCACCGCTCTCCGGTCTTCCTGTCCTTCCCACTTTTTCCTTGGAACTACAGTCTTCTCCTTTTCCTTGGCCCTCCTTACCCATTCCCTCCGTGTCCATTCCAGCGGTAATTAGGACAGGCAGGTAGCCCAGCCCACACATCTCAAAGGCGGCTGGAATGTGGGCCAACCCCAGGGAAACCCACAGAAGCAAGAAAGCTTAGGTTCAGTTTCGAGGTGCATCTAGAAGGAGCCTTGTCTCTGGCCTTCCACATCAGTGGGCAGGGGTGGGGAGGAGCATGGCTGGGCTTGTGCCAAGACCCCTCCTCTCCGCTGCTCCTACGTGGCTGCTGAGCAGGCCCTTTGTCCCTCCCAGTCTTGCTGGAACGAGTACCTGACAACACGCATTGAGCAGAACCTCGTGCTGAATTGCACCTGCCCCATCACCGCCTGCCCCGCCCAGCCCACGGCAGCTTTCATCCGTGCCATCGTGTCCTCGCCCGAGGTCATCTCCAAGGTACCCCTTCTCACTTGAGGCGGCTCCAGTGCAGTCAAAAGGGCAGGTGGGCCCTGGGGAGTGGGCTGGTCTGCGGGGTCCCGGGGGCCTGTGTGTGGCTTTGCGCAGAGTCACGCCTCACCTGGCGGCACCTGCGGCCCCACAGTACGAGAAGGCGCTCCTGCGAGGCTACGTGGAGAGCTGCTCCAACCTGACCTGGTGCACCAACCCCCAGGGCTGCGACCGCGTCCTGTGCCGCCAGGGCCTGGGCTGCGGGACCACCTGCTCCAAGTGTGGCTGGGCCTCCTGCTTCAGCTGCAGCTTCCCTGAGGTGGGTGCTGCCGGCCCTGAGCCAGCATTCACACTCCTGCCCATGCCCAGTCCCCACCCCAGACTGCTGTGTCCCTCCTCCTCTGCCACAGCTGAGGTCTGCTCTTCCTCTGGAGTCCTCCAGACCTGACCAGTGTCTTCTCCCTCCCTCTCTCCCACGCACACCTTCAGTCGGGGCCCAGCTGTGTCCTCCCCGCCCCCTTGCTGTAGGCACACTACCCGGCCAGCTGTGGCCACATGTCTCAGTGGGTCGACGATGGCGGCTACTACGACGGCATGAGTGTGGAGGCCCAGAGCAAGCACCTGGCGAAGCTCATCTCCAAGCGCTGCCCTAGCTGTCAGGCACCCATTGAGAAGAACGAGGGGTGCCTGCAGTAAGAAGTGGGATCCGTGTGCATTGGGCATTCAGGAGGCAGAGGGGAGGGAGGAAGGGGTGGTGGAGCTCGTAGTAAAGCTCCACCCACAAGGGCAGCCCCCAGCTACCCTCACTGGGCGCCCTGCAGGGTGACCTGCAAGAGCTTCATGTTCCTGCCCGAATTTAAGTCCACACAGTATGGGGGGATTCAAAAGCAAGGGTGCATTCAGTTGGACTTGGTGCAATTATGCAGGCTGTAAAGGCGGGGAAAGAACAGAGGCCCTTGGCATTCCCGGCACGCCCTGCCCAGAGGCAGGAGCCCTCTGACCAGCAAGCTTCCTCCGTAGCATGACCTGTGCCAAATGTAACCATGGATTCTGTTGGCGCTGCCTCAAGTCCTGGAAGCCAAATCACAAAGACTACTACAACTGCTCTGCCATGGTAAGGGGCTGGGCCCCAGCAGTGGGCAGAGGCCTGGGAGCAGCCAGGATGGGGTGTGATGTTGCCACTGCGCCCTGGGCAAAGGCGCTGTGGGACAGAGGCCTGGTGCGGGGAGCAGAGGCCATCGCAGCCACAGGTGCTGGGGATTCGGTAGTGGGAGGTCTGCCCGCGGGACCTTCAGCTCCAGGGTAGGACTTGGCACGGGAAGGCAAGGAGAGCTGGGCAGCTCAGGAGGCCGCAGGGTGGGGCAGAATGAGGACTGGAGTCGGAGCTGGCTCCTCTGCTTGGTGCATGGCTCTGGGCAAGCCAGTTTGCTTCTCTGAGCCTCAGTGTCATCTGTGAAAGGGAATGATGATATGATCTCTCCCTCAGCCATGAGGATTAAAGTGCTCTGGGTAAAGTGTTAAAAGGTCTTTATGAATGGTGGCTGTTCTCATAATTGACTGCATCCTTCCAAACAAAGCACCCATAACCCTCTGAGCATGTCCTTCCCAGGTAAGCAAAGCAGCCCGCCAGGAGAAGCGGTTCCAGGACTACAACGAGAGGTGTGCGTTCCACCACCAGGCCCGGGTGAGCAGGCAGGGAGCGGTGGGGGAAGGGGGTGTGAGGTCAGAGCTGGGGTAGGTGCCTGGGTCAGGGGTGAAGGCCCAGACTGGGTGAGACCAGGCTGCACTTGCTGGGCCGACACCCTCCTCTGCACAGGAGTTTGCTGTGAACTTGCGGAACCGGGTATCTGCCATCCATGAGGTGCCCCCACCCAGGTCCTTCACCTTCCTCAGTGAAGCCTGCCGGGGACTGGAGCAGGCCCGCAAGGTTGTGCGGACGGGGGCAAAGGACCGGGAGGCCGAGCCGGGGGTCTGGTGGGCTTGGCTGCTTTCATCTGACTTGCCTGGGTGTGGGGAGGAGGAGGGCGGGCTCGGGGTGGCCGCGTGGCCCAGGCAGGGCCTGCTGACTGGCTCTGCCCTAGGTGCTGGCCTACGCCTGCGTGTACAGTTTCTACAGCCAGGACACTGAGCACATGGACGTGGTGGAGCAGCAGACTGAGAGCCTGGAGCTGCACACCAACGCCCTGCAGATCCTCCTGGGTGAGCCGCCCCGCCCCACCCAGCCATCCTTTTCCCTCTGCAGCCCCAGAGCCCCGCCGTCACTCTAACCCCCTCCATTCTTCATAGCCCTCCTTCATAGCACAGAAAGCGAGAAATCACCCCCTGGGGGGGATGGTCACGCCACAATCTCTTCTCCTCCATTCTCCTCTCGGGATCTTGGGCACACACGCACACGCGCCCAGCGTGAGTTTAAACCACTGGGTCCAGGACTCGAACCATGGTTGACTACATGGAGTCCAGCAACATAGCCATCACACTAACTGCTAGTCCCTCCCCTCAGCTTTTATAGTTCTGGTCTAAAGTCCAAGGTGTGAGGGCCAGCAGTGGTGTGGTGGTTAAAGCACTGGACTCCCACAAAATTGACTGCTATTCAAGTCCCAGGCTGGTGGCTTGAAAATCATGTTGGGCTCTGGCAGATTGTGGCTTGGCCCCCCCCCCGGGCGTGATTTTTCACTTTCACTTTCCCTCTCACTGTCTCTCTCTGGCAATACCCTACGGCAAAAACCTTTAAAAAACAAACAGTCCACGCTGTGAGGGGCTGAGGGGACAGTGGGCCACCTGACCTCTTCTCAGTCTGGTCCATACCCTGCCCACTGGAACACAAGCTGTATGGGAATGCGTGTCTAGAGCCGTGCCTGGCACGGGTATCTGCTCCGTGGGTATTTGTGGAAGGAAGGATGGATGAGTAAGAGAAGGGAGGGAGCCCTATGCCTGCCCCCTGCAGAGGAGACCCTGCTGCGGTGCAGAGACCTGCCCTCCTCGCTGCGCCTCCTGCGGCCCGACTGCCTGAGCACGGGCTTGGAGCTGCTCCGGAGAATCCAGGAGAGGCTGCTGGCCATCCTGCGGCACTCCACCCAGGTACCGCCTGGCCCGGCCCCTTCCACGTCCGCACTCGGCAGGGCTCGGGGCCCTCCTGTGGCCTCCCTTGCGCTCCCAGCCCCTGTCCTGGGACAAGCCCAGATGAAAGGCAGCCCTGGGGCCACCCTCCCGGATGCTGCTGGACTCAGTCACTCCTGGGGCTTCTGCAGAGTGAAGGGTTTGCTCAGTCCACATCAAGGCTGCCCTTAGGGCACTTTTTCAGACTACCCAGATGTGGATTCGAATTCCCAGGGGTGGGCCCAGGGCATTGGGATCACTAGAGCCAGGGGTGTCCAAGGTCCTTCCCAGCTCTTAATGCACTGAGGTTGAGTTTAAACTGAGTCCTCCCCAGACTGCTGATAGGTAAGTGACTTGGGCAGAAAATACAGACATACACAGCAGGCTCCCTAAGCACAGGGTTAGTGTCCGGGACCCTGGAGACCACCCATGAGTTAGACACACAGGTGCTGTGGTGGGAGGGGCCAGCTTTCCTAGCAGGAGCCTGGCCCTTAATGCCCTCAATTCTCCAACGCGTCAAACCTCCCGTCTTGCCAGGACTTCCGGGTCAGTCTTCAGAGTCCCTCAATAGAGGCCCAGGAGGCAAAAGGCTCCAACGTTCCCGGCCATGGCCACGAGTGAGTGGGACAGGGGCAGGGCCTCGGGGGCAGTGGGAGGTGGCAGGCTACCTCTGGGGCTGAGTGTGGTGGCTCTCCCTAGGCCCCAGGGCTCCTCGAGGCTGCAGATGGAGGACGAGGATGACGAGGAGGAGGAGGAGGACGACGACGATGTGCCTGAGCGGCAGG